TAAATTATACTATAAATGCATTATGATGTCGGATAACGTTTTCTCCAATTTATATTGTTTTGTTAACTTTTCTATAAACATTCAATTTTGTATTTCAGTCCTATGATGATATCAGTTTTGTATTTGATTAACTGAAATTTGCCAGGGGATTAAAATTCTGTTTTTTTTTGTTTTTTGTTTTTTGTTGTTGATAATTTCCGTTTCATGTCTGTTTAACGAAGAAGAACATAGTTCTTAAGCAGGTTAATCTTCATTCAATAAAGTTGCCCCCGGAGGCAAACGAATTTCGAGAAAGTCATGAACATATTATGAATTGCTAAGGATACGACAGTATTGCAGTTCAAGTCAGTAAGACTGATATGATTTTTACTATCCCTGTATTTTTATTACCCTTATAATGTTTAATTCAGACAGGACGGTTCACACATAAAATGTTTTTACTCTCAGCAAACATATTTCACCTGACAAATCAAATATCTGGAAAAAGTGATCCCTCGGAAGCATTTAATTCAGCAAAATTATACATAAATTGCAGACTCCGTTTGATTGAGTCTGTACATGAGGGATAATGAAAAAGTCCAACATCCCTCACGCACCCTAGCACCGGCATTGTGCTGTTGTAGAAATGAACTTAAGAAGAAAGTGTTTACAAAAGCGAAAGGTCGCATATAAACATACACAAAAAATACTCAACGGCACGGAAGATAGTTTAAAGCAGATTGTTAACTTCCCAACCCACGAGCTTGATAATGAAATGGAAAATATTAAATTAATTGCTAATGTTATATTAAACCTGTACTTAAGTAAGTCCGTAACTGCTCAGCCTATGTCATGGCTTCTATGAAGTGTGTTACAAAGCCGGTCACATTGTCTTGGTAAACATTTATTTCGATTTCGTTTCGTTTTTCGTGGAACTTGTTTTCATCTGACATGATTTTACAAGACAATACTCTTCAACGGATTGGTATAGTGATTGAAATGTGTCTTTTTCTCCTATTAAAACAAAAATTACGTATGGCTGAAGTTTGCATTGTTTACATATCATCAAACCACCTTGACATTATTTTTCTTGCATAGCAGACTGGCGTTTCCGTGAGTTTTACCCATGCCGGAAATTTCATCTGGCATGGGGGGTGCCAGATGAGTCGCGTGCCAAACAACAACGTCATTTTAGCGCCATTTATGAATGAACCGCGTTAAAATGACGTCGTTTTAGAAGGGAAATATGTCTTAGGATGACGTCATTTCGCCGTTGTTATTTAAGTTGTAAGTTCATACGCTATTGTAATAAAATAGTTATGGATGAAATGACTTTAATTTCCATGAACATATATCATATTGAGGTAAACCATTTTAAATATGAAATAATATCACAGAATATGCAAGAAAAAATATCTTTCATATGTTTGCGGTTCGGATCGGAATATCCGTCCCGAGGGGACCCGCCCATTGGGCGGTAACGAGGCTTGCCGGGACGGATATTCCGGTCCGAACCGCAACATATGACAGATATTATTAATCTTTATTGAATGTCGTTGAAATACAAGCGCCTTAAATGATACATTTTATATAAGCTGTCAGTTTTTTTTAAAGAAACAACAGTTATATAGTATTTAAATTAATGAAAGTTTCATTTTTCATTTTTTATTTTTGTAAGCGATAAATGTATTAATTTTGAAAGAAATGTGAAAATAAATATTAACATTACAAATTCAGTTTTGAATTATAATTGTTTCAGTGAACGAAACAGAAAAAAACGTCGTATTTTTTTTTTCAATCTTTACATTGGTATTTTAATGTTGAAAAGATTTTTGTTTCAAATCTATAATAATACTCGAACAAAATATCGATATAATTTCCGTAGAGTTTCAATATGTATCTGGTTGTATTCGTCGGTGAGTGATTGTTCCTACTGCAATTTGAAACTTTTTCAAAGAGCACTTTGGGACCCATTAAGCCTAAAAATGATATTAATTGTATTTCTAAAAAGCTTTTTTTTTGTTTTAAAAGTTCTGTTTCAGATTCCAAAGTTCACTCATTGGCCATAGGAACCATCTTTTGCTTCTTTTGCTTTATTGGCATTTATTTCGGCTACAGTTATTTAGTATTTATACGGAAATCAAAATACAACTTTGTTTAGAATTTTTATCATTATTATAAATTATTTCACATTCAGCGCTGCTGCCGTCAGACGATAAGGATCTAAATAAATCTAAATACATAATTGTATCAGTATATATAACAAACATTTGCGCTTTCTAAAGAAGAAAAACTATATTCATTTCTTAAACATGGCTCTGAAGTAGCAAACGAAAGTGACTTTGTCTAGAAAAAGTTTCAATTTGCAATTGATGGGACTCCTTTTTTACTCGCAATAATATGCTGTTATGGTTATGCCAGACGCAAAAACTTAAACGATGGATCATTTCCTCGTAAGTTTTAAACTAGATTAAGATAAAGCGCTTGATGATGTTGAATATTAATTTCTAATTGAGAATATTGTCTCACCTCGATTTTTTTCACGAAATAGTTGACCGCGATATTAAGTAAATAAGTAAATATTAAAAATATTGACATTATTTCTCTAAGATAAACATTAAATTACTACTCATGTTACAAGTTTATTGTGAATATTTAACCAATTTGTTTTAAATAATGAAACCATATCAATAGTTATATGAGTATGTATCTTTCATTAACTATTTATGTTCAATTATTCTAAAGCGTTAGCTGTGATACATGAATTGATTTGGTAAAATATGTGACAAACAAATGTCTGTTTTGTTAATATTAAATGGATCATTGAATTACGTTGTAAATTGTATTTCTATTTTGGTATTAAAAAGTTAAAAAATATAAACATTTTCTTATTTATAGTCCTAGGACAGTAACAACCATCACAACGCAAAAACGGATTGCTGATTTCCGATTATTAAAATATAGCCACTTTTGATAATCATTCTGATAATGTTACCATTCTGCTTGAACCGAAAGTGAATAGCAATAGTTATCACCAGTATAGAACCAGACCTGTTAGTAGCTCAAGTTTTGCATTTTGATATTAAAATATCTTTTACATTTTGAATGGACTGTTCCAAATTCAAAACTGGGCAAATCCATCACGCATTTTCAGCAGGCTATGTTACGATGATATCTACTTCTTTTCAATGGGAATTATTATTATAGATATATTGTTTTATTATTTTCTTATATTCAGTTTATTTGTTGTAATCCTAAGAAGACGATTAAGCTTAAACAACAACATTTGAAGTGTACTGTTGCATAAGAAATATCAAACTAGGATAACGTTCACAGGAAATAGATTTTTCAAAACTTTCGAATAAAATGTGGATCACTACTAGCCGAATTGATACAATATACAAGGGTTTTAAATCTGTGGTAAAAGACACTGCTAACAATCACTTTATAGACTAAGCAAAAAACAAAACGTATCATGTCAAATCACTTTGAGTTATAATGCCTTAAAATGCTTCATGTGTAGATTGTGAGCAATTAACCAAATAAAAGGAATTCAAGTTGTAAGTCTGAATTTACATAGCATACAATCAGTATGGGATATTTTAACACATTCAATTCCTGTAGATGCAAGGAAAGCTGGAAGTAATAATATTTCCTTCAGCTTAATATACAATATTTTGCAAGCACCAAATATAACCTAAAGTCCATGTTAAACAAATCTTATGATACTATTAAACTGCATGTATCCACGATCCTATGTAGTGCCTGAAAGGGTGGATGGACCCTTATTAAGCATAGAATACACACACGGTCTTATAGGTATTGAGCTCGCTGAGCTTATAAATATTCCACCAGTTTCATGCTGGATTATTCATAATTCAAGTGCAGAGTGATTGCAACCATAAAAATATAATCCCAATATTTATTTTCATGGTTTTAAAGTAATTCATCATTTACCTTAAATATTAAATCTTAGTTACGAGGACATAAATTATAAGAGTGTGTAGTTTTGTGCTTTGCAAGCCCTATGCATTTTGAAATCCTACGCATAATGCCGAGTGTTTTATTAATGTATTATATAGATATAGTATCTCTCTATTTGACGGAAGATTATTTGAGTTAAGACTTTCATATGAAGTCTATGTTAAACATAGTCCTGAAAAGATTGACAGTCTTAGTCAGAAATTTAATACTGTAAACGGATTCGAACAATAAATAAATAAGTAGATAAATGGGAAGTGTACATTGTAACATTAATGATAAATACAATGGTACAATCCAGTACATACTTTAAAATTCCGAGTAAATGGACTATATTGTCAACATAAATTCTAAAATATGAAAACCACCGAGAACAATTAGTGACATTTGTTGGCTTATGATTATTTGAATCTTTTCATGACTTAACAATAAATAAAATTCACCACAAAAAAGTACCGACTAAAGCAATATTTAATTTTAACGAAAGTAAATGACTCAGATGGACAAAAAATATGTATAAAAACACATATAAAATGAATTGGATTGTCGATTCAGTAATGCAGCAATTAAAAGAGCCAATTTATTTCAAATAGAATGTTATAACGGAGTGATAACGAAACAAAGTTCGCATAGCGGTTATTAAACTATCTTATATCAACCGAAACAAACACAATTTACTCATAGCTGTAACTGAATGTTTAATCAGGTATAGTCCTTTGGCAATTCTGTATTGTACCAAATGTACATAAAAAGAAGGGAATTCGATTCAAAAAATATATAAAGATAAAAACGATATAATCTTTGGCGGCTGTAATGTAACAACCTGGTCTGAAGGTCCTTTCACCTACTATATAGTATTTCATTATTAAAATGTTTAGAATGATTAATATTTAAGTTTGATAAGCTGTGTATAACCATAACAGTGATGAGAACAAGCTTGGCAACAAATTGAATAATTAAATAATAATGCACCAACTCATGTGAAACGAGAAAAAGTGTGATCAAATATTGGTTTATCAGAAGCATATGGCATTGGACAATTGAATTTCATTTGCGGAAAATGTCACTGTAATTAGACAAAATGTAACGGTAATTAAAGGCGACGAAAGCTGACATATGCAACTGCAAATGAAGGCGAAACATAAATATTAAGGTCCTACATAATTCAGATATATGGATTTAAAAAAATCTAATCGGAATAATTCTGAGAAGGTAAGTTTTAAAATATACTTTGATAATGCATTTAGTCGATAAAAACAAAAGCAAATATACTTTGATAATGCATTTAGTCGATAAAAACAAACTTTCGACTGCCTTTAGATATAGTATTGATCAGACAAAATTTAAAATAAAGATAGTTCTATGAAATAAAAAGAAACGAGTTTACCACAAGCTAAATTTAATGGTTTATTTGTTACTGGTTCGTGCTTTTGCAATATTTGCTTTCCTTAACATAAATACAGTACATTTATTTAATGTCTTTTTAATGGTGAAATTATACTTGTGTTTTGATTCTGTAAATCCATATATTCTCTGAGCAATTCAAGACTTATGCTAAAAAATATGATAATGCTATATCTAAAAAAATTTATTCTTTGTTTTTCTTTGCAGTAATTAAATTATTAATAAAAATTCAATTTTGATTACAATAGTTTGGAGTCGAGGCTTTACGTTACTCCCCCCTCCATATTTTCTTCTGGAAATTGAAAAACTATCTAGAAATTGAAGAACTTTTTATGATTTAAGCAAAATTAAGGTGGTCAAAATCTATTACATGGCCATGTTTATCAATTTCGAATCGCCCATATTCCTTACTTATGTATGTTATTTTTTTATTTTTCATTTATTATTATTTTTTTTATTTTTATTATTAATTTGCATATTTATTTTCTTTTATATTTGACCATTTGTCAAACCCCTGTTTTATAGAATCTAAATAAAACTGCCTTGCAGAAAGTTATAATTGATTTAATGCACGGTGGAGTATATATAAACTTCCCCCATTAGTCAACAGGAAAGACAATATCACAGATTACCTTGGTGTGATCAAAATTCAGTTTCAAAGTTCCAAATATTTTAAAGGACAAAAGGTTTTAATTAAATTAACTTAGAAATTGCTTCAATGTAAACATTTTGACCTTATTATTATATGTAAAACGAAAACCGGAGCTCAAAATATTTTTTAAATAATTGACAGATTCACTTCAAGATCATTTTAAAACGGTCGCTTTATTGCAAATTGGTAACAGTACAAACGAAGTCTATATCAAATCAATAAAATCGTAAAAAAAACATTTAAAGACCATGAATAAATTATGTTTTCTAATTAGTTTGTATGATTAGGATACTAAAATTGTATTGCATTTTTCCCACGAGTGTTTGGCAAAAAAAAAACAGTTCCATCCAGCAGATTTGTACTTGTCGAACTGGTAAAACAAACGCATCAAAATGTTCATCTAGACACTTCTAAAAATGCAATAAAATACATAGAATAATGTTCATAATCTTAATAAAGGTAAACCTATCGTTAGTGGTAACGGTTTCATAAAATTTGGCCATGGAGAAAAGTAATTACTCTAATTGATTTACTTATAAATAAATCAAATAAAATTCAAAGTGTATTGCAACCTTATGTATATTTTATGGTTCAGATTTGAAAATCTACCAGAGTATGACAAAATATAACAGGGGATGCCATGTATGAAAATAAAATGGTTCTATGTAAAGGATTAGCTTATTAGAAACACAGACAAACTTTATGTTTCATATATTGTTACAATACCTTAACATTCACTTCTTCTGATTTATCACAGCAAAACTCGCAGGTGCCAAAGAAGAAACTTAGTAAAGAAGCAAGAATGATTCTCCTAATGGCCAAAGTACGTCAGACACATGCAGAGGATCTACATGAACAAAGTAGTCTTATTGAAATGATTAAACATACAAGAAACGATATAAAAAAGGAACTTAAAATAATCAAAGGAATAGAAGAAGAAACAAAAGAAGTTGAAGAGCCGGTTATTGAAACAGATACTAGCAAAAAAATAAACATCAACCCTAATCTTAAGATTGTTATACTAATAAAGAAAAAAGCAAAGCCAAAAGTGGACACTGGACACCATAAATCGATGGAATCCAAACATAGTCACTCAAACACAAATGGAGTTCAGCATTTGTCAAAACATATAAAAAGTGATGATGCTTCAAAACATGATTTCACGAAAAGACCTCCTTTTAAATGATGATAAAAATGTTATGAAGAAAACAACAACCAGAAAATGTTCGTCTACTAAAACCCGTGAAAACGGGACAGTATTTGTTAATGTATTCCTCGGTCATTTTGTAGCATCCCCCCGCTCCCCCCAATAAAAATATACATGTGACAATACGCACAATCACTTACATTTTCAAAAAACTTCAAACTGAAAGGATAGGAAATTTAAAACTTTTATTCTATTTAAGATTTGCATGCTTTAAACCTGAAATTTGCTTGTTTCACTTAAGAATCGAAAATTAAAACCACGTCAATTTTGTTAATATAATTACAGTTGTTTGCTACGGATAAACCTTTTTTTAACTCATTGTTTAGCTGAAAATTCGCTACATGATCAAATTATAAGAAGACAAAAGATTAAAATCAGTCTAAACCGTGTAAACGACTGCAATTACTCGTGCAAAATCGGGAATTCGGTAATGAAATGTATGAATGCCAAACAAGTAGTGAATAATGAAAAGCGATAGCAAGCTAACTTTTCATTTAAAACGTTTATTTTAGGAAACAAATCTCTGTTATAGAAATTCACATACAAAGCTAGTTAATTTTAGTTTTCAAGCAGTGAGAGATTTAATGAATTTGATAAATTGACAAGTTACTAAAATCTTACAAAAGTAAAGTTGTGCACATTGGGCATTATGCGTACTACAATGATCTTTTGTCTCTAATTAATTACTGCCGATGCTATTTAATATCTTTACCAGATAATTATTGTTTTGCAAATATATAACACTATTACACTTACTTTTCAATGTGATACATAAATAGAGATTACTGTTAAAATTCTATTTTCTTATTAAATTGATCAACTTACAGTTGTTTATTGTTTCTGGCTCAGACTTCATCATCATCTCGCCAAACACGTTATTACGCTCTGTCCGCTAAATTTGTGATGTCACAGGTGGTAGGGGCGTCATGAATCCCTTCTTCAAAACTCCACCTTTTCAGATCAACATAAGCTGCTTTATTTTTCATGTAAAATGTGTTGTTATTATTTTTGATTGTGATTCAATTTCTTTCATTTAAATAAAAATAGATAAATAAATGATACACGTACACGTCTCCTTTTTTATTTTATCTATTTTTATTTATTTCTTTTTTCTTCTTTTTCATCGAAATGAAAGGCATTGAATCAAAATCATATATCAAATATTTAGAGATATTTAACACGGAAAGACATATATATTATTACGTATATATATTAATAATCTTACAATGCAGCTTAGATTGTTTGGGTTTTGTAACTTGTAGAGCAGTTTATGGTAATGCAAGATTTAGGTCCGCTAAACTTTTTTTTACATCATAGAATAAGTTTAAAGAAGAGAATCTATTGGTTTTTACGCAATTATTTCTTTTAAGCCTAGCATAACATTAAGGCTTTAGGGACTAATTTCTTTAAGCTAAATGGACTAATTCCTTTAGTCGAACTAATTTGAAATATTATCATCAAAGAATACAGATCATATACGATACGATTCAACAATTAATTCATAAGGAGTCGTTCAAAGTTTACTTTAGGCTGTAATACCATGCATTTGTATTCTAACAAATCTTATAGTAGTATGCAATCATAATAAATTTATGTAATATGTGACATAATAATAAAGTCATTACATGTTGGATTTTTAATTAACTTATGTGGTATAAATATGAAAAACAAGATCAACAAGGAAAGGCGGCGTTCAATGAACGCAACCCCCATATGACCCAGCAGCAATAAATCCATTGGTTTGTTGAAGGAAATCAATACGTAAATATCTATACATAGCAAGTTAAGTACTCAAAGCACAGAAGGCGCTGAATTTGTTTGAGTCTTAGAATGTCAGAAGGTGAAGGTTGTGAGATTATAAACAAATTTTTTGTATAGTGTAACCAATGCTATTTTTTTCAGTGTTATAACTATAGTAAAATTGGCTATAAGACTAATTGCAACACTGATATTCATTTCAATGTTTATTTGGCTTAAACAATAAAAAAGAAACAAAAAAACATGACTTGCCTGAATTGGGATTTGAACTCAAGACCTCTCGCTTCCAAAGCGAGCGTGTAAACACTTCGGTCATGGGGAGTTATAAGATAACAGCCTGAAGAATACCATATTATTCTAATATTATATTTCGATATATTTTGTTCACGGTAAACCTGTTGTTTAACGTTGTTTAATACTGAAGTAAATAATCATGGAGCTGAATATAACAATGTATATCTATAAGAATAACACAATTTAAGAAATCTCCGACCAATCGGGATTTTTTTTGTTACGAAAATTAATGCGCCTGTCATGTGACAATCTTTACGCAGTGATCTCCCCTTACTTTTTCGGCGTTAATGAACATATGAAGGAAAGTAACCGCTTCGAGGAGTTTGGACTACTTTCGGTATATGCAAATAAGATCATCAGGGTCTGAAATTTCGCTACCATTATTATTTTGGTCTGACGACCCAAACAAATAAAAAATAATCATCTGTCACATGACGAAGTGATGCTCCGGCTTTGTCTGCAGTGTTCATACAAATGAACACAAGAAAATTATTAGAAGTTTCCATTTCAAAGTATGCAAGGGTAACAGACGAAAAAAGTATTACTAGAAATTATTTCCTCTGGTTTGGGATAAGAAACATACATTTTTGTACTTCTGTAAAATCTCATTCCGATGAATCTGGTTCATTGATTAAAGAATTTAACTGTTCATATATTAAATTTCTCAAGAGAGCCTGGGAAACTTTTACTATTGAATTTATCAAATACTTCTGTGTGTGGGATATACCATATTTTCTCTTGTTTGTCTGTTAACTATTTGATTAAGAAATATTTTAAGGTATGTGCAGAAAGCTGAACAATGTACAAAATATAAATAATTATATTGTAATTGTCAAAATCCACACGATACAGCTGGCGCAAATACATGTATTCAGAATTATATACAGGTTGATGTATTGAAAGCAAAAATGTTCCAATAACATCTTAGATAGTTTGACGGGATTTTTTAACCCACACTCTGCATCACGACGCCTACTTTAAAATCAACCTTTTATTTCATCTATGCTTTACTTCGGTTCTGTTTGTTGTTATGGTCCTTTCTTGAAACTTAATTACCTTTGTGGAGATGAAAGATGTACTGAAGTGGATGCAACTAGTACTGGTAAACTGTTTGACAGCCTGCCTATGAACGATTCGGTTGCTGAACTGTGCTCTGGTAAAACTGTCGTGATCCGAAGTGAAAACTTCCAACACCACTACCAATATGTAAAATACATATTTAGCCTTAGAAATGAGATGATAACAAAGCTACGCCTTACGATGTTTCAAACATGAATTCAGGGCCATTTAGATGTACATCACACGGAGAAAGTAGGCAACGTGACATGTGAATTAGTATTTCTGAAAGAAACTATAACAAAGCGACAAAAATATAAAAAGGTTTTTAAGAAATGAAAAATTACAGCATTTTTGGGACTTAATTATTTTTAAGCATGAAAAAATATGCTATTTCATACCAAGTAATACATTTTTCATTCATACAACTGTAAAAGGCATACAAGAATATATAAAGAGGTATGTTACTGGATATAGTTACTCTTTTATTATAGCAACGTTATCTTCAGAGGAAATGGAACCAATTACCTGTTAAATGAATATTGTTTAAGGATAGACTGCAGTGAATAAATAATGAGCGTAAAATATATAACAAGAGGGCCATGATGGCCCTGAAATTGTTCACCTGAATATAAAAAATCTCCATGACAAGGAACAAGTAATATTGTAAACTATAAACAAAAACAGATATAAAATCTAAATCTCAAACTGATATCACAAAGTTCATATTTCTATCTGAAACAGTTCATGTGTTAAAACATTTTACAAGGTATTATTGGTAACGGAAATCAACAGTTCCAAAAATGTGTACATATAAGAAAAATCAATGACCCCCCGGGTAGACTCTTACTAGAATATATGTTTCATGCTAAATATCTAAGCTCTAGCTCTATGGGGTTATTAAAAGATTTTCTTTCGGTTGTCATAGCAACCAGAGTTCGGCATGGAATAACATCCTTTGAACAATTTTTAAAGGCGATCATCAAAGCAACATTCCTGTGAAGTTTGGATGAAATTGCCTTCCGGTTTATGAGGAGGTGTCATTTGAAGTAAAAGTTTACGGATCACAAAAGTTCACCGAGTCACGTTGTGACAGGTGAGCTAAAAATCACTCTGTCATTTCCGCCCGGTGATAACATCGTAATTTCTAACGCAATTAACCTTTATTTCTAACTCAGTGATTTGAAAAGTTGACGAAAAAAAATCAAACTAGACAATGCTACTGTATATACATATCAAAATCTCCGATATATGAATAATTTTCTATGTGTTTTAATATACAGTAGAACTTCGGTAAGTCGAAGTTGAAGGGACTTGCGTAAAAACTTCGACACATCGGGACTTCGACTCATGAATCGCTTTCAATTCCATGATAAAATTTCGACCCGTGACTAGTCCTAATTATAAGCTCTATAACGAAACATATTTCATGTTTTTCCATCATTAATCCTATCTTTAAATTTTACAATGATAAATATAGCATGTCAAATTACGTTCTTCACGACTACCCAAAGAGTTACAAAAGGCGTATGAATACGAAAGGGCGATAACTAAACCAGCTTATAGTAAATATTTCGCGTGTTATTCTCTCGCGACACCGGGTCAAGGATGTTTTCAAATGAAAGTAGTGAAGTAGTTCTTACTGTTTACTTTCAAATACCACTACGGCAATTAAAAAAGTTACGATTAAAGCATTCTGTCACACATTTTATCGCAAACAAAGGCTGTTTGAACACACGGCTGTGTTATTAACACCTATCACACAAGTTGATTGGAAATCGTCTTCGCAGCCAGATAAGGTGTGAAAAATGTCTCGAGGTCAAAGGTGTCAAAACAATCCAACGACTTCGACTTATTTGTGGTAAATTGCACTAGATTTACTTTATACGGACCACGAAAAAACCTCGACACATCGAAAAATTCGACACATAAAATTTCGACTCATAAATAGGTTTTTATAAGGAATATATAGGGGGGAAAGTCGGGACTTTCATTTTTATTCGACACATCGAGAAAATCGACTAATCGAAGTTCGACTCATAGAAGTTCTACTGTAATTATTTTGTTTCATGCCTGTCTTTATTATGAAATAAATCCTTTTTGAGACTGCGTTTGACGGGTCATGATTTTTGTGTATTTGTAGAGGTCCCTTTGACAATGCTGTATATCAATAATATAAGATCTGAGTCTTTTTGTTTCAAAGGATAATATTACAAAACAATTGAAACATCAAGGAAAAACCTTTCATGGGGTAAGGACAATTATTGATTAAACTTCTGTAAAGTTTTGACGGAATAAATAGAGATATGTATTTTTATGTTTGACTATGATACAAAAGAGAAAGAACATCAAACCCTCGGCAATCTGATTAATATTCGGGGTCTACTTCACCACTCGTACAAATCAGATAGCCTCGTGTTTAAATGCTCTTTCTATTACTTACATCATAGAATAAGTTCAAAGGGAATAATCTATTGACTTTTACACAATTCTTTCTTTTAAGCCTAGCATAACATCGAAGCTTATCGGACTTATTCCTTTAGTCGAACTAAGTTGAAACATTATCATCAAAGAATAAAAATACCACAGACAACATGAGACACGATTCAACAATTGATTCATAAGGAGTCGTTCATAGTTTATTTTAGGCCGTAATACCAAACATTTCTTATCTAGGAAATCTAAAAGAGGTGGCCA